TTCTAGTTCAGTTCTAGTTCAGTTCTAGTTCAGTTCTAGTTCAGTTCTAGTTCAGTTCTAGTTCAGTTCTAGTTCAGTTCTAGTTCAGTTCTAGTTCAGTTCTAGTTCAGTTCTAGTTCAGTTCTAGTTCAGTTCTAGTTCAGTTCTAGTTCAGTTCTAGTTCAGTTCTAGTTCAGTTCTAGTTCAGTTCTAGTTCAGTTCTAGTTCAGTTCTAGTTCAGTTCTAGTTCAGTTCTAGTTCAGTTAGTTCAGTTAGTTCTAGTTAGTTCAGTTCTAGTTCAGTTCTAGTTCAGTTCTAGTTCAGTTCTAGTTCAGTTCTAGTTCAGTTTTAGTTCAGTTCCAGATCAGTTCTAGTTCAGCTTTAGTTCGGCTCTGCTTCAGTTCTAATTTAGTTCTTGATCAGTCCTAATTCAGTTCTAGTCAAGATTTTTTGTTTTAAAAATTTTCAAAAGAATTTATTTTATGCAAATTCTTGCAAATACAATATTTTATGAAAACATTTTGATTTTTTCACTAATTTCTTTTCTTTATCTCTTTTTAGGTAAGTTTCTGAACAAATATTTTCTTTTATAAATGACGTTCTATGTATCATAAATTTGTAAGTAATAAAGTTTTTAATATAAAATAACAAAAACGTCTAAACTATAGACTAAACAATATACTTCATCATAAATTAGAATAAAGACTTCATACACCATATAGACTAAACTCTACGCTAGTCTATAGAATAGGATAGACTACAAACCAGATTATAGACAAAGCTGTAGACTGAACTATAGATTGGACTATAGGTTAGACTGCAGACTAGACTATAGAATATACTGCAGATTAAACTTAGTCCTAGTTCAGATATTAAGTTATAATTAAGTTCTAGTTCAGTTTTAGACCAGTTCCAGTTCAGTTTTAGTTTAGTTCTAGTTCAGTTCTAGTTCAGTTCTAGTTCAGTTCTAATTTAGCTCTAGTTCAGTTCCAGTTCAATTCTAATGCAGTTCTCGTTCAGTTCTAACTCAGTTCCAGTATATTTTTTATAGAATATTAAAAATATCAAAAATTTTAATTGTTTTTCTTTCGATTTGGGAAATATATTCAAAATGTAGTGTTATATTACTTGTTACTAAATTAAGGAATTTAAAACATCTGCCTTAGAGTTTTGTTTCTCTGGGCAACCTCCATATGTTTACATTTGTACTGTTGGATTTCCCCTTCATTTCCTCCAGTACGCTATCATGATTAATTCAATTATTACAAATCCAGTTACCTCCCAAGATTAAATAACATTTAAAATTAGCATAAATTACATACGCCAAGCAAAACACTGCATATATTAACTCATACACTTATTCAATGATTTACGAATATTCGATCTTATTCAATCAGTATTAATTTTCACCCACCCCAACCACTATATGTTGTTGACAATGTTTGCAAAGTAAACCTATTAAAACGTATTTGTTTTTCCTAGAAATTATAAGCAAAGCAATTGTCAGACTCATCCTGAGGCTTATAGAAAACGTCTTAAATATTGAAAAGAAATCCTTAGCAGAGCAAGTATGTTAAAGGAAATCGCGCTATCTATGACTTGTTGAAAGTGAAAAGGTGCGAGAGTTTTTGTGTTTATTTTCAATTTATAAACAAAACACACGCAGGATAAACATAGATACTCAGAACACCTATGTAGACGGTTAGAAAACTTACAACGTTTTTTCGTTATAGTTGCAATACAAACCACAAACTACTTACAACATATTGCCTTTATTTGTATAATATCGCTTGTCGTCTGACGGTTTTATTGTAAACATAGGTTTAATTCTGAATTTTTCTTTCCAAACGCTAAATATAAAACCGTTTCCTTGCAATAAAAATTGTCTCGATATTTAAGCTGCTAAAGCTATTTGTCATTTTCCTCCTTGTTCCTTAATTTTCTTACTTGTTGTCATTTATCTTCCCCTGCTGCTGTTGTGGTTGTGACTTGCCGAGGGTTGGGATTGATTTTGGTTTTTTGTCTTGTTACAAATATTGAATACCAAAAAAAAAATTAAATTTCTATACAATTTGCATGAATGTCTTCTAATGAAAAGAAGACCGACAAAATCAACCACAACAGCAACAACAATAGAAGCAACGAAAACATATCATCTTCGAAAGAACAACATCTGCATGGTATGGATCATGTACTAATACAACTGAACACCCAACAATTTTTTTTTTATTATTTTGTGCTTCATTTAATGGTTTCAAACGCCAAAGAGAGAAAAAACGGGGAAGGATCTAAAAAAGTTACAAGCTAGTGACAAAAAAAGAAAAACACCTTCCATGGTTACCACCCCTTTGTTGTGTTAGTTTGTTGCTTTAATAGATTTTACCTTGAAATTTTCGAAAAATTAGCATTTTCTTTGTAAGGGTATTATGGATTGTGTGCGAGTGTATAGAAATACCTATATATTTGTGTTAGTTAAGATGATTTTATAAACTTTAACACCACGAGATATTTTGTACATAAGATAGCCTCAAAAGTTATATATATCTAATTAATACTTTCAATTATACTTTTATGAACTTTAAATGAATGCTGCTCCCTATATTTTAGGATACTGATTACGTCTAATGAAAAGCAATATCTGAGTCAATGTAGTCGATGTCATTCTTAAATTAAGTTCGAATATCACTTTAGATTTTTTTATATTTTTAATTCCTTACAACTGAAATCATACTAATATTGACACATACTTGCAGTATCTACAAACACATAAAAGTAAAAAATTATAAAAACATGAGTTTCATCATAAGAAAATTCACAATATTAACTGACCCGTGAACAAATTAAATCAAATTGCAAGTCCTTGTGCTCTGGTAACACTAACATGAAATAAAATGTTTCTGAATTTATAAGGCAAACGACAATATCCTCAACATCATGAGCTTTGTAATAATTATCAAAGTTCAGTTCTAGTACAGTTCTAGTTTAGTTCTAGTTCAGTTGTAGTTCAGTTGTAGTTCAGTTCTAGTTCAGTTGTAGTTCAGTTGTAGTTCAGTTGTAGTTCAATTGTAGTTCAGTTGTAGTTCAGTTGTAGTTCAGTTGTAGTTTAGATGTAGTTCAGTTCTAGTTCAGTTCAGTTCTAGCTCAGTTCTAGTTTAGTTCTAGTTCAGTTCTAGTTCAGTTCTAGTTCAGTTGTACTTCAGTTGTAGTTCAGTTGTAGTTCAGTTCTAGTTCAGTTGTAGTTCAATTGCAGTTCTCTTCTAGTTCAGTACTAGTTCAGTTCAAGTTCAGTTCTAGTTCAGTTCTAGTTCAGTTCTAGTTCAGTTCTAGTTCAGTTCTAGTTCAGTTCTAGTTCAGTTCTAGTTCAGTTCTAGTTCAGTTCTAGTTCAGTTCTAGTTCAGTTCTAGTTCAGTTCTAGTTCAGTTCTAGTTCTAGTTCAGTTATAGTTCAGTTCTAGTTCAGTTCTAGTTCAGTTCTAGTTCAGTTGTAGTTCAGTTCTAGTTCAGTTGTAGTTCAGTTGTAGTTCAGTTCCAGTTCTCTTCTAGTTCAGTACTAGTTCAGTACTAGTTCAGTTCAAGTTCACTTCTAGTTCACTTCTAGTTCAATTCTAGTTCAGTTCTAGTTCAGTTCTAGTTCAGTTCTAGTTCAGTTCTAGTTCAGTTCTAGTTCAGTTCTAGTTCAGTTCTAGTTCAGTTCTAGTTCAGTTCTAGTTCAGTTCTAGTTAGTTCTAGTTCAGTTGTAGTTCAGTTATAGTTCAGTTGTAGTTCAGTTCTAGTTCAGTTCTAGTTCAGTTCTAGTTCAGTTCTAGTTCAGTTCTAGTTCAGTTCTAGTTCAGTTCTAGTTCAGTTCTAGTTCAGTTCTAGTTCAGTTCTAGTTCAGTTCTAGTTCAGTTCTAGTTCAGTTCTAGTTCAGTTCTAGTTCAGTTCTAGTTCAGTTCTAGTTCAGTTCTAGTTCAGTTCTAGTTCAGTTCTAGTTCAGTTCTAGTTCAGTTCTAGTTCAGTTCTAGTTCAGTTCTAGTTCAGTTCTAGTTCAGTTCTAGTTCAGTTCTAGTTCAGTTCTAGTTCAGTTCTAGTTCAGTTCTAGTTCAGTTCTAGTTCAGTTCTAGTTCAGTTCTAGTTCAGTTCTAGTTCAGTTCTAGTTCAGTTCTAGTTCAGTTCTAGTTCAGTTCTAGTTCAGTTCTAGTTCAGTTCTAGTTCAGTTCTAGTTCAGTTCTAGTTCAGTTCTAGTTCAGTTCTAGTTCAGTTCTAGTTCAGTTCTAGTTCAGTTCTAGTTCAGTTCTAGTTCAGTTCTAGTTCAGTTCTAGTTCTAGTTCAGTTCTAGTTCAGTTCTAGTTCAGTAGTTCAGTTCTAGTTCAGTTGTAGTTCAGTTGTAGTTCAGTTCTAGTTAAGTTCTAGTTCAGTTCTAGTTCAGTTCTAGTTCAGTTCTAGTTCAGTTCTAGTTTAGTTCTAGTTCAGTTCTAGTTCAGTTCTAGTTCAGTTCTAGTTCAGTTCTAGTTCAGTTCTAGTTCAGTTCTAGTTCAGTTCTAGTTCAGTTCTAGTTCAGTTCTAGTTCAGTTCTAGTTCAGTTCTGTTCAGTTCTAGTTCAGTTCTAGTTCAGTTCTGGTTCAGTTATAGTTCAGTTCTATTTCAGTTCTAGTTCAGTTATAGTTCAGTTCTAGTTCAGTTCTAGTTCAGTTCTAGTTCAGTTCTAGTTCAGTTCTAGTTCAGTTCTAGTTCAGTTCTAGTTCAGTTCTAGTTCAGTTCTTGTTCAGTTCTAGTTCAGTTCTAGTTCAGTTCTAGTTCAGTTCTCGTTCAGTTTTAGTCCATTTCTAGTTTAGTTATAGTTCATAAATTTTTTTATAAATATGTATAACTAAATCATTGAAGTGTTTAAAATCGGCTCTAGTGCCTACAATGTTAATTTTATTGAATCGATAAAAATGTCATTAGTATCATAATTTACAAATTCTTAAAGTATTCATTCCAATTGTAATATAATACATTAAATAGTGATGTCATATTCACACTGTGTGTCCCATTACGTACATTCTCCATGTTATTTTCGAAGTTGTTTGGGTCACCATTCAAAGTGTTTAATTCTATTGCTTTGTCATCACCATTTTCATTGTTTGATTTTACTTGTTGTTGCTCAAGATTAAATTGTATCAAGATGATTAAATATGTTGTAATGCCACCACAAAACTTCAAATTTTTTTATAGGAAATTAAAAGAGTTATTGGTTTTAAAATGCTAAATGATAACTTACACCGAATAAAGTTTCCATATCTAAGGAAAAATAACCGCAGGCATTAGAGTTTAAAGCTTGATTGAATAGTTTTAACGAGAGGTGATTAATCTAAAAAAAAAATAATTTAGCCTTGAAGGGGTAGATAAAAAAACTTCAGATGTCAATTACCATTTCATAGGTGTCATTTTTATCATCTGCCATTGCACAGCGATGCATACAGATGCCGGTCTTTTTCGATTCCAAATTTGTTTTCCAGTTTCCACTTAAAATTGTAATACATTTGGAGGATATATACCAGATATATAGAGAGGTTATCCACCAACTTTGGGCCGGTCGAAACAGGGCTGGAACTAACTGTAGTATAGGAAAATTCAATTAATTTAGTAAATATCTTTATAGATTAGTGGATTATTACTTGTTTTAGGATGCAATGCTTCCTTCTATCTTAAACTCACCTGATTCACTTGAGAACAGTAAAAGAAATACAATTGGGCCGTGACAATAAAAAATCCATAACCCATCAGCATTAGAATGGGAATGGCATAGACTTCGTTTAGTTGTCTGCCCACCCTACACAAAGTATCATGCAGTTGACAAAATTTTACGAATCTGTCCTCCAGACTTGCATAAGCTGGACCATAAGATGTCGAGGAATTAGAGGATGTAGAAGTTGAGCGAGGTTTTGAAATTTCTGCTATAGCATCATTAAAAGAATTGGAAAATATTTGAGGATTGCGGACGACATCACCGAAAACTGCTTGAAAATTCGTAGCAACTTAAAAAAAAACAATAACAGATTAGTAACTGAAAGTAACATTTTGGATTTTCAATCACTCACCTGGTCTTATTTGATTTTTGAATGAATATTTTAGAATCCTATTCTCGTTTTTGATCTTTTTAGAAACTTTAAACCTTTTTTCCTTTTGCTGTTTTCTTCCTATTTTCAAAGCCTCCTCATCGAAAGCTCTATTAATGGCCTCAAAACGCTGTTTGATGGCCATGAGTATGAAAACATACCACATTTTGTCCAGGGTATTAAATAAAGTCGGTATGTTCGTATAAATCCACAACCAAGCCGTCCAATTGTCCTTGTCCACATATAATATGAAGCTTAAGATAAATATTACGATTTCCCAGATAAATGTCAAAATATGCCCCACCACAAACGATATTTGATAAAACTATTATCGAATATAATATTCAAATCCCTAAAGTCTTCATCTATTTCTTGCAGTTGCTTAAAAATTCCAATAAAACCTTCCTGTTTCACCAAACCCGTTATACGATCAGCCAAAACTAAGGCCAAACTGAAATAGGTCAAGGCAAATCCTATGCCCACTGACAACAGATCTAATGGTATAAAAAACAAACTATAAATATATATTTTTCCAAAAACCAATATCTCACCTTTTTGCGCTATGTAGGATCTTGATTCAAACACCGCAACCATTAAATTAAAATTAATAAATAATATTATTACGCCTATTATTACCAATCCCTCTCCGGTTGCTGATTTCTTTAAGTGTTTATACTTGCGAAATTCCTCCCAATCCTGTGAATTAATGCCCAGTACTTTGCATATATAAAATAAAACAGTAAAACTTTCCAATAACGGTTTGTTGAGTTCCGTTTGTGTTCCCGAAGTTTTCCTTCTATAAGCGGTCATTATGTTTAAAGGGTTGCGATTGAACTAACTTCAAAACAGGTTATTAATGTAAATGTTTGCACCTAATAATATTAATTGTTTATCATAATTGTCTATCTAATGCTTTAATTAATTAATTTTATAATTTGTCTATATGATAAACAGCGTAATTATTTAATACCTATTAATGTATTGGAAAAATACAGGTTGGTTGGGTTACGATGGTGGTGAGTTTTCTCAACAAATATGTAAATTTGTTAAAATAATATTAAGTCCGGGTTTTAACTGTTCACAATAAGGGAAGAAATATTATTTAAATTTTGAAATAGTACAACAATTTCAGTTATAATTTAGTTTTAGATTATTTCTAGTTCAGTTCTAGTTCTAGTTCATTTCTAGTTCAGTTCTAGAACTAGTTCAGTTCTAGTTCAGTTCTCGTTCAGTTCTAGTTCAGTTCTAGTTCAGTTCTAGTTCAGTTCTAGTTCAGTTCTAGTTCAGTTCTAGTTCAGTTCTAGTTCAGTTCTAGTTCAGTTCTAGTTCAGTTCTAGTTCAGTTCTAGTTCAGTTCTAGTTCAGTTCTAGTTCAGTTCTAGTTCAGTTCTAGTTCAGTTCTAGTTCAGTTCTAGTTCAGTTCTAGTTCAGTTCTAGTTCAGTTCTAGTTCAGTTCTAGTTCAGTTCTAGTTCAGTTCTAGTTCAGTTCTAGTTCAGTTCTAGTTCAGTTCTAGTTCAGTTCTAGTTCAGTTCTAGTTCAGTTCTAGTTCAGTTCTAGTTCAGTTCCAGTTCGGTTCCCGTTCAGTTCTAGTTCAGTTCTAGTTCAGTTCTAGTTTAGTTCTGTTGAGTTCTAGTTGAGTTCTAGTTTAGTTCTAGTTTCAGTTCTAGTTAAGTCTAGTTGAGTTCTAGTTCAGTTCTAGTTCAGTTCTAGTTCAGTTCTAGTTCAGTTCTAGTTCAGTTCTAGTTCAGTTCTATTCAGTTCTAGTTCAGTTCTAGTTCAGTTCTAGTTCAGTTCTAGTCCAGTTCTAGTCCAGTTCTAGTTCATTTCTAGTTCAGTTCTAGTTCAGTTCTAGTTCAGTTCTAGTTCAGTTCTAGTTCAGTTCTAGTTCAGTTCTAGTTCAGTTCTAGTTCAGTTTCTAGTTCAGTTCTAGTTCAGTTCTAGTTCAGTTCTAGTTCAGTTCTTAGTTCAGTTCTAGTTCAGTTCTAGTTCAGTTCTAGTTCAGTTCTTGTTCAGTTCTTGTTCAGTTCTAGTTAGTTCTAGTTTCTAAGTTCTAGTTCAGTTCTAGTTCAGTTCTAGTTCAGTTCTAGTTCAGTTCTAGTTCAGTTCTAGTTCAGTTCTAGTTCAGTTCTAGTTCAGTTCTAGTTCAGTTCTAGTTCAGTTCTAGTTCAGTTCTAGTTCAGTTCTAGTTCAGTTCTAGTTCAGTTCTAGTTCAGTTCTAGTTCAGTTCTAGTTCAGTTCTAGTTCAGTTCTAGTTCAGTTCTAGTTCAGTTCTAGTTCAGTTCTAGTTCAGTTCTAGTTCAGTTCTAGTTCAGTTCTAGTTCAGTTCTAGTTCAGTTCAATTCACTTCCAGTTCAGTTCTAGTTCTGTTCTAGTTCAGTTCTAGTTCTAGTTCAGTTCTAGTTCAGTTCTAGTTCAGTTCTAGTTCAGTTCTAGTTCAGTTCTTGTTCAGTTCTAGTTCAGTTCTAGTTCAGTTCTAGTTCAGTTCTAGTTCAGTTCTAGTTCAGTTCTAGTTCAGTTCTAGTTCAGTTCTAGTTCAGTTCTAGTTCAGTTCAGTTCTAGTTCAGTTCTAGTTCAGTTCTAGTTCAGTTCTTGTTCAGTTCTTGTTCAGTTCTAGTTCAGTTCTAGTTCAGTTCTAGTTCAGTTCTAGTTCAGTTCTAGTTCAGTTCTAGTTCAGTTCTAGTTCAGTTCTAGTTCAGTTCTAGTTCAGTTCTAGTTCAGTTCTAGTTCAGTTCTAGTTCAGTTCTAGTTCAGTTCTAGTTCAGTTCTAGTTCAGTTCTAGTTCAGTTCTAGTTCAGTTCTAGTTCAGTTCTAGTTCAGTTCTAGTTCAGTTCTAGTTCAGTTCTAGTTCAGTTCTAGTTCAGTTCTAGTTCAGTTCTAGTTCAGTTCTAGTTCAGTTCTAGTTCAGTTCTAGTTCAGTTCTAGTTCAGTTCTAGTTCAGTTCTAGTTCAGTTCTAGTTCAGTTCTAGTTCAGTTCTAGTTCAGTTCTTTAGTTCAGTTCAGTTCTAGTTCAGTCTAGTTCAGTTCTAGTTCAGTTCTAGTTCAGTTCTAGTTCCAGTTCTAGTTCAGTTCTAGTTCAGTTCTAGTTCAGTTCTAGTTCATTCTAGTTCAGTTCTAGTCAGTTCTAGTTCAGTTCTAGTTCAGTTCTAGTTCAGTTCTAGTTCAGTTCTAGTTCAGTTCTAGTCAGTTCTAGTTCAGTTCTAGTTCAGTTCTAGTTCAGTTCTAGTTCAGTTCTAGTTCAGTTCTAGTTCAGTTCTAGTTCAGTTCTAGTTCAGTTCTAGTTCAGTTCTAGTCAGTTTTAGTTAGTCTAGTTCAGTTCTAGTCAGTTCTAGTTCAGTTCTAGTTCAGTTCTAGTTCAGTTCTAGTTCAGTTCTAGTTCAGTTCTAGTTCAGTTCTAGTTCAGTTCTAGTCAGTTCTAGTTCAGTTCTAGTTCAGTTCTAGTTCAGTTCTAGTTCAGTTCTAGTTCAATTCTAGTTTCAGTTCTAGTTCAGTTCTAGTTCAGTTCTAGTTCAGTTCTAGTTCAGTTATAGTTCAGTTCTAGTTCAGTTCTAGTTCAATTTTAGTTCTAGTTCAGTTTTTATTTCTAGTTCCGTTTTATTTCTAGTTTCGTTCTAGTTGTGACACTCACGTCTACAATGATCGATTTAACGCTTTAGTGTTGCCAAACAAAAATTTGTCGCTAAAAAATTTCCGGAACTGGCCGTTACAAAACGGTTTAGTTTAAATGCAAATACAATTTCGTAACAATATTTGTATAAAAAAAACTTTATACGCTCTTTTGATTTTAAATAAATTAAAGAAAATACAACCATTTACTATGGGTCATAAAGACGATCTTATTTAAAATCTCATCTTCTTAAACAAAATTGCAATTGTTGTGATAATCCTTATAGAATAAACTACAGGTTATATGGCTAAGAATATAGATACTTTTGCTAACAAAAGAATTTTTACAAACATTTTTATAACGAGTTAAAGGATAAAAGTGAAAAAATATATTCCAGTAAATTTGCCACATACAAGTAGTGCTGAACAAAGAAAGTATCTGTGGAAAAACTACAAGAAATTTTCCCTAAAAAAAGGGAAAGTAACAAGATTTTGGTGTGTGTGTTTTATCTTCAGTAGTTGTGGGGTAGTTGTATGAACCCCATATGGATAAAAAGAGCAAAAGCAAGTAAGTAAAAGACTAAAATTGCTTTAGTGGCCTTTAAAGTGTCATAAATTTTGTGCTCAACAAAAGCTTAGTAAAGCCTTAAATTGGCCAAAAATTGCGAGTCTTATATAGTGTCCACAGAAAATAGGAGTTTTTTTTAGTTAGTCCTTTTGCTGGTCTAAACGTATGTTTTATGTATTTTACTAACGACATGTATAACAACATGCAATGTGACCCCTTTTAAGGGAATTAGACACAAATTTTCTTAGTGATTTTTTTTTTTAAAAGAGATTTTCATTTCTTTCTTTTTTTTTGTGAGTCGGTCGCCATAACATGTTAACAAGAATATGCAATGTTTAACAAGATATTAAACGAATTTCACAAGGATTTTTTTGTTGTGACGACTACCTTCATAAGGAAATGACTTTTAATAGTAAGTTTTTATATAAACAGTGATGGTATTTTGAAAACCTACGAACTTAAAAGATCATTTATATCAGGATCGAGATTGGTAACCGTGTGGGAGTTTATTTGAAGGCAATAATGAGTTATTTGAGTAGAATTGTAAAAATATTATCTGAAGTTTCAGCCACGATCCTTTACGTTAAGATAATTTCTTAGTCAGGGACGATTCCGAGAATAAGATATGATCGTTTTCTTTTTAATCATCATACGCCTCTGTTTTTCTATATTTTTTTATAAAATAGTTAATTCTTTGTTATTACACTCCCAGAGTATGTGTATGTTAAATTTATTCTTTTATTTTTTGTTTACAAACTCATAAAATGATGGAGAAAACACCTTTTTATATTATTATAATGATAATTGTACACCACATTTACGAACAAGTATATATTCCCAGCAAAAACTTTCGTTTACTATGATGTCATAGGATATAAGTACTTATATACCACAATCGCTTATAAGTAATTCGAAAAATAAGTCAATGTAAATCGTATGAAAGCTGACTAATAACAACTTATTAAACTACTTCTATGTTAGCAGGACGATATGTAGTAATCATTGAAAAGTATGTTAATAGATAAGTGGTTACAATAGAAAGTCATTAACAAGTTTTTGCTGGGTTATATGGGTAGGAATATGTGAAATATGATTTATGATTATATGTAAGAGAAAGAATAAAAAAATAAAATGAAAATAGAAAATCATACATAATAAGAAAAAAAGCCACAATTTTCAGACAAGCCCACAAATACAACAATGTTAATTTAACTACATACAATTACAAAAAGCACACATAAACATACAATCCCAATTTGAAAAAGTTTAATATAAAATTTTTCTATAACGGATGTGGCATATCACTTGAGGATATACAAAATATGTAGAAAATTTCCCATTTCCTGTTCCATTGGGTGGCTAAAAAGTAAATAATCAAACATTTACTACATACAGTACCGAACACAAAGTATATACATACATACATATACATAATATACATATGTATGTATGTATATATTCATGTGTATTATTACTTGTAAAAATTTAGATAATAGAGATTTTTAAATGTTACAGAATCGTATGTTTGTAAAAATAAATATGTTGTTTTTTGAATTTTTACCTCAAAGTTTTATTTATTTTCATATGTACTTTTACTCCCAAATTCATATCCTTTGGAGAATAGACGAACAAAAACATT